CTTGCGAAATAGGGATGAGGCAGATTATAATAGAAAGTCCGTTACTTTTGGCAACTATGACTGCTCAGCTATCTTTTTATCATGAATTCTGTCTGCTTTTGATGAACCCTGGGGGAAATTTGAATCAGTATTGTGACAAAACAGTCATTCTAGACAGTCTTAACTAACACGATTAATTGATTACAAAATTACGGCTCATGACTGGCTACTGAGAGCTCACTCCGGCTTACATGCTTAGTCTTATTCATCCATAGCTTTTTCCTGAAAGGGGCCAAGAAATACGATTGAGCAGTTGCAACTTTTTATAGATTAGGATCAAAATTATCTCAAATAACATGTCAAAATCCCGTAGGGAATTAAGAAAGGCTTCCTCGTATTGCGATCGGGGCGAAATTTTTATCTATTGAAGCTCTACTTCTCAGGATTTTCTTAATATGTTCAACGAAAAGTAGTTAGGTTGACTTATCATTTAACGTTGGTCAAAACTTGTTGATTTTACAATTATTTTTATCAATTTATTATAATTTATTTATATTTACAATTGGTTCGATTTAAAGAGATATTTACCTGCCTACTGGGATTACTACTCTTTTGGTTGTGAGTTTTAACTTAAAGTGCATCGAACTTAACTTTCTTTGTCAGTTAGCATATTTGCTGATAGATAAGTTGTCCTATCAAAACTCTTAGCCGAAATTTAATATCTCTAACTTTCATTAAACTATTATTTTGCTCACCATTTTTTCACACCATCATCTTACATACATTTCATCTTATCATCTTTTCCCTGTTAAACCCCGTGCATAAATTTAACTTCGACCATTAAATATAATACACAAAATCATGACTATTTATGCAATATTTTTTAAATCCGAACTCACTCCCCTTACTCCTCTATCTTTCCCCACACTCTGCATCACCATATTTATATCCATTCGCATTCATTATCAACTTTTTATTCCATTTTATTTACCATATTTCATTATTCGGATAGCCTCTATAAGCATTAGTAATAGGATTATTTACACTTTTACCCCCTTATATCGCATCTCCATTATCACTTCCGTAACTTCCATCACTGCTGAACATTTTGCTTCTGTAATTAATCCCTTTCCTGTTCTAGTCGTGCAGCCTACGGGTGCTCGGACGATCCGGGCTACCGGAAACATTCCGTTTTCAGGGACCGGCGCAAATTCGGCTACGGCTACTGTTGGTGCAGGCACCCCCCTGCACACCTTGGAATTCGGGCCGTCAGATCAGCCGCGCTTGATAGAATGTTTGGAGCTATGTTGCTTTACTGCCTCTAGCCCAGTAGACGACAAAGGGACTACCTCTTTGAATAACAAACAAGCTGGCATGTTACCTAAACTGACAACCAGCGTTGATCCAGACTCGATACCAGCCTCTGCCCGGATTCTAGACCTCCAGGTAAGCCAAGATCCTGGATCGGGACCCAAAATAATTGACGCTCTGGATTCAAGCCAACCTCAAAGTGGCACCATCGTCCGCTTGGTCATCTCTCCTTCATATACCTTCCTTCTTGCTGTCACAAGCTCGGGAAGAGTCTACTTGGTCAGCCTGCTTACGCTACATCAGCAAAATCAGACGCCACAGCCTCCGGGCCTGATTGAAGGTAGTGGAAGTGCTGCATCGAGCAGAGCGATTAGCACAGCTGGCCAGCAGGAAGATTGCGGGGCTCAAGTGAAGGCAGCAATTATGTTACAAACGAGTTGTGATGCTTATGTTGGTCTGGCCCAGCTAGGCCCAGTTGACACAAACACATGTATCGTACGTACTAATAGTGTCTTCCCCAAAATTCTAATGAATATCATTTTTCAATTTTTATCATAAAAAAAAATTAATATACAGGGAATTTCAAGTACATATTTCGCCACACTAGAAAATGACTCTCTGCGTTTATTAATAGTAACACTAATGAGGTTATCTCAAAAAATTCATCGAAACCATTTACTCTTCATAGGCTACTTATGTTCTAAATTAGTAGGACTTGAGAATATCATTAAATCTGAAATAAGGGCCATATTCACTCTTGGGCGAATAAGATTATTAAGGGCTGATAAGTCAAATTTTCCACAATAATACAAGTACGCTACACCATATAAATTAATTTCACTTAGCCCTGTATTTCTCATCCAGGATGGAATTGGTCCAGAACTCACTTTGGGTCTAATCAGTGTTAATCCATTTCGGCACTTAATATGAATTAGGAGGACTAATCGAAGGTATGAAGACCAAGATGGTGTTGACTTTTGTGTGATCGCAGTCTCCTTTCGTTCTATAGAAGTTGTTTGACCGTATTTTTGCAAGTTAGTCATATAGGTAGAATGACTTAGAAAAACGCATCTGGTCCAGATTCCATTGTATTCATGATTATTTCCAAAGTCGGAACGTGGACGTGGTACATTCCCATACATTTCGCCGGCATCGTCAGTGAGTCTCGCTATTCTTAGCACCACACAACAACCCGTCAAAGAGAAAAGTGAAGCCGATCCTTTGACCAAACGTGTCCTTAACAGTTGTGGTATC